CTACGTACCCTGCAGTACTTTTATTATCATCCGCCATTGCTTTCTCCACTTTATACTGTAAAGCTCTACCTGCAACTCGAAAGAAATCAATTTTTTTTTCCATCTTCGGCACTGTATTTATTCACTAAACGACCCTTTACATTGAAGAAATTCCTAAGATACGTAAGTCCGTTTTCCCAACTTCCGGTCGGTGACGTTCACGTTCTCGTCGTCATTGCTAAAGGTCCCTATTCGCGTGTGGGAAGTGGGAAGACAAAATGGGCGAGCCGATGGAAGACGATGATTTCCCTTATGATCTTCCGAAATTCAATCGCTACAGCTTTGCTGTGGTAAACCAATGCAAGAAAAAGCTTTTGACTGTTCAACTGGAAGCTCTTGAAAGTCTTCAGCGTTGGTTCCAGAATAAAGAAGGCCAAATTGCGTTGGTGAGGATGCCCACGGGTAGTGGAAAGACGGGCATTATATGTTGTCTACCATACTTTCTAGGAACAGAAGGACTGGAACACGTGCCTCGTAGCTTTCCGAATGGACGCCCGCGTCATTCCTTCGAAAACAAACCAGTACTGATAATTTCACCCAATCTGAATATTAGCGATCATCTTGAAGAGCAGATGCTGAGTTCCCTGAAAGATACATCACAAAGGAACTTTTTCTTGCGTCACGGGATTGTAAAGGATTATCAGAAACAAGCGCTACCAGAAGGAAGGAAGATAGAGAGTACAGCTGAGTTGAACAGTCGCAACAGTGCTAATTACTTGCAAGGAAAGGAAGTCGTCATTGCCAATGCCCAAAAGTTTCTTAAAGAGGAAACATGGGAAACAGATCTACCAGATGACATGTTCAAACTTGTGATCGTCGATGAGGCGCATCATCACCCTGCCAGGACGTGGAAAAGAATTATCACTAAATTTCGTGGTCATGCGTTGGTTGTGTTTTTTACGGCAACGCCTTACAGAGGTGACAAGAAGCCAGTGGTTCCACCACCATTTGCTTATGAGTTGTCCCTTGCACGTGCGATAGGGCTGAGAATAATTCGCCAGACGGAATTTGTCGCAGTAACCGGGCAACCTCGTGGAACTTTTAGACTTCGAACACAGCTTAGTCCGGAAGACCTCCAGATGTGCCGCATTTTTTTGACCATTCTTGAAAAAGTGAGAGAGATACAAGAAACAAAGGACCGGGAGACGCCGCTTCCAAACAACATCCCACACATGGCTTTTGCCATAGCTAAGGACCACTTCCACGCGAATCTAGTAGAGGAACTTTGGAATGTGTTTTGGAAAGACGCTCCTGCCATCACATACACTTCAGAGAAGAAGAACGAGTCTCCCCTGCAAGAGAAATTGGCTAAAATTAGAGCCAACCAAGTGAGGCTTGTTGTGGTTGTGGACATGCTCCAAGAGGGATTTGACCACCCACCGGTTAGTATTTGTGCCATAATGACCAATATTGGTTCCCCAGTGAAGTTTGTACAGTTTATCGGGAGAGGACAACGAATTGCTCGTGATTCTCAAGGTAACTTAGAGAGTGACACTATTAGAGCTCATATTGTAACACATCGGCATTTTCAGCAAACCGAAAATTATGAGAAGTTCCACAACGATGAACTTTTATTTATTGGGGATTAATGACTAGACTAGAACTCAGAATCCTGGAAGTTACCCATGAACTGTATGAAATACTTACCGCATAAACCCAGCTTTTTCAGAAACATTGTTAGTACCATACCTTGCGAGATAGAGATTCCCTTCCTTTCTCCTCGGAGAGTAGTCACAACTGCCTGATTTCCTATCGTGCAGGTGCACTATGTCAGGATGTTGCATGTGTCTGATGTGTCTTGCTTATTCACCGGAAGTGTTTCTTATGCCATCAAATTTGGAGCCATTTTTGGTTCTTACGTGACCAATTAATTGGATTCCAACTTTTCCACCATTTAATTGTTAAAGAACCCACAAAAATTTCATAAAATTACATGGCC